GGCAGCCGCCTGGTCGTGCCCCCCCCCCCCAACAGCATGAGCAGCGGCGGGGGTGGCAGGCCAGGGGGGGAGATGTGCCTTGCCTGCCCCCGCCCCCCACCACACACCCCCTCCCCTTGCCACTACCCAGCCCTGCAGTCCAGCTGGCCGGGACCCCTCGCCTCACTTCGCCACCTGCAGAGGAGGAGGAGGAGGAGGAGGAGCGCCTTCCCGGAGCCGGCCAGGAGCGCCTTGCCAGGCAGCAGCGCCAGGATTTCCTGCTTGGGGGTGCTGATTGAGCGAGCGGGCCGGCAGCAGCCCCGGGGATTGGCTCCCTGCCTGCCTGGCCACGCTCCCCTTGGCCCCCTTCCCCCGCCCTTCTTGCCCTGGCCGGGCTGTGGGCGATGAGAGGCTGCCGGCGGCCGCCCCTGCCTCTCCTCCCACGCCCCAACGGCCGACTCACGCTCTAGGCGAAGGCCTAGTTCGCCTAGTGGGCGAGCCAGCCCTGGCTACATGCATAGTTGCCATAAGTTGAGATCTCCCCAAAAGGGACACAGGTCACATGTATGGTGTGGGGGTGCTTCCCTTCCCCACTAAGTTTTATCCAGACTGATTTGTGCCCAGTTCCCCTGAGAAAAATTAGTAGTAACAGAGCAAACAAGTGATCACTTTGCCACTCAGTCAGTTTTAATGTGCAAAACATGAACAGTACTCCTCCTGTTCATGTTTTGGTCATAAGAACTGATCCTGAAGGAGATTATATGAGCTCTGCAGTGCTCTACTAAGTCACTTTCGTTATACCTGGCTAGTTTATTTCCAGTTTGAAAGGTAAAACAATAAATATGGGTCTCAGGGCAGGCATATCTTCCTTTCAACTTTCTAGCTGAATTTCTGTTCATCATGCTATGGACTGTATAGTGCAGAAATGTGTTCTGCATAGTGGATTCTTCCAGAGGCAAATGATGCTCTGGTAAAATTATTAGAAATGTCATGTCTCTGACCTGTTCGCCCACACCATAAGACATTTTTTCCTCCCCAGTAGGGAATAACACCTAATTGGTGCTGGGCAGTTGGAAATAGTCAGTATGTGTTCAAAAGTGCTGCTTCAAAGATATCAGAGATATATTCTTCATGTTTCCATGTGATGTTCTCCTCTGTTTCTGCACAGCCCATCAACATAAAAATAACCTGCCACAATATTAGCAGGAA